ACCAAAATGCTCGATCATGATATTGATACAACAAGTGTGGGGCCCTTTGATTTGAGAGTCCGTTTGGTAAAAACCGTAGCCGCAACCAAAACACACGCGACTGTGGGGTCCCCGTGTTACTATACTATGGAGCGGCACCCCATTTGCGCACATCCGAAGCAAAATTGCTGTGTTTTCGAGCTTAAAGACAGGTTAGCCTTTTCATATGACTGGACTGTATAAGCCAAAACGCTTAATTACAGTGCGTGTTCCTCTTTGCCATGTAGTAGGGCCGTGACTTCAAGAACTGTGTTTCCGAGCCTTTTGTAATCCTTATCGAAGCCTTCCAGAACCCCTATTCTGTAGAACCCTTACATGAAAAGAACACTTGTAAACCCTAACTTAAGAACCCTTAGCAAATCCTTGTGGGCTCCCTTTTTATAGAAGCGATATCGCATCGTAATAGAACCCTTGTAATGTAGGGGCCTTAATAATTGGCTAGTTTAATAACTGAGTCAGCTATCTATCGGAACTGGAATGAAAGTATGTGATCCTTATAACATATATGAAACTACTCCACACGAGAAACAAGGGCCCCAACAGCGTTCCTTTCTGTAATAATTAGAAGAAGGTTTGGGGCCCAGTATACTATAATAATAATAATGATAATTCTGAACCCCCGCAATAATATAGGTAATCACTTAGGCCACTATAGTGCAGCACCTCAACTCTGGATTTGACGAGAGCCTTGGCAACCGCCGGCGCTGCACTGGGCACTTCCGGTACCACGATCGGAGCACGCCTCTTTTGATACTTACGAAACCCTAAACCCTAAACCCTAAACCCTAAACTACTAAATGCTGACCCGCAAACCCCTAAACCCTAAACCCTAAACCCTAAACTGGCTAATGGCATACAAAGGCTAGTGAAGTTTGGGGATTGGGGTTGGCAGGGAGCTCAGGGCCTGCCACACAAAGTAAGTGAACAAAAAACCTAGCACTAATTTCACGGAACCCTCATTGAGGGTTTAGGGTTTAGGAATTTTTACGGAACCCTAGACCCTAAACTCTAACCCTAGGAATGGAGTTAGGGTGGGGCTTTAAGGGGCTCTAGGATTTAGGGTTCCAGGCTCAATGGGTGAATTCGGGTGGCATGTCCGGTGTCGCGCGTTGAGCTTAGAGTGTAAGGTCGCTAGGATATCGGGCTTTGTCCGATGGTTTTGAGTTTAGGGTTTGGGGTTTAGGGTTTAGGGTTTGGGGTTTAGGCTTTTAACCGGTTCTTGGTTTAGGGATGTTTAGGGCATTGCGCTTGAACTGGGAAATTTGGAAGAACTGGCGGGGGCTTAGGGTCTAGGTTTCCTCTAGGATGTTTCAGGCTGTATGGTCTACGTTGCAGGATACGGTAGGCCCCGGATGAATAACCCCAGACCCCCAAAAGGATCTAA